ACGACATCTGATTGATTGTGCATGGTAGGTAAACTGCATGCTAATTTCTTTGTGGAACTTGATCAAACTTTAAACTCGTATCAGTATGATGTCGTTAGCACTGTCGTATTTTTTGCTAGTTATTCTCCGTCAGTCGTCGACCGTTAGCATGGCCTAATACTGAGAAATTTGCGACATCCAGCAATATCGTTGGCCAGCTGATTATAAAATGGAACTTACTAGGGTATTAATATGTCCTTGTGATTTACAAGCGTTGAGTTATATCTTAGATCGAGATCGTTTATAAAGATAAAGAGATAATTAAAAGATAATTAAAGAGATAGAGATAATTGGAGATAATTAAAAGATAATTATAAAGAGTGGATAGATTCAGTACAATAATACTACGTGTAGTCTTGTTTAATGTTTGCCCATTCATCTGTGAATTGAAGACATTATAACACATTGATTCACTTCTTTGGAGACTATAAAGTTTATCTCAATCATAAATGTGTCTACTGGTTAAGATCACCTTTGCAGTTTAAGCTACAATCGGCGACAATATGAGTTGAGACACTGCCCTAATCTGGGCTTTTTTGACGTTTTCATGACTTCAAAAGGGGAAAAATAATATAGCTTTTCCTTCCCCATCCCCTCTATGCAAAATTGTTGTGCTGCTGTTCAAGCTACCAATAGAAAACAAAAAACACCCCAACTTTGCATGGAGGAGACAGGGGAGGGGTGTGGATTCTNTTCTCCGTCAGTCGTCGACCGTTAGCATGGCCTAATACTGAGAAATTTGCGACATCCAGCAATATCGTTGGCCAGCTGATTATAAAATGGAACTTACTAGGGTATTAATATGTCCTTGTGATTTACAAGCGTTGAGTTATATCTTAGATCGAGATCGTTTATAAAGATAAAGAGATAATTAAAAGATAATTAAAGAGATAGAGATAATTGGAGATAATTAAAAGATAATTATAAAGAGTGGATAGATTCAGTACAATAATACTACGTGTAGTCTTGTTTAATGTTTGCCCATTCATCTGTGAATTGAAGACATTATAACACATTGATTCACTTCTTTGGAGACTATAAAGTTTATCTCAATCATAAATGTGTCTACTGGTTAAGATCACCTTTGCAGTTTAAGCTACAATCGGCGACAATATGAGTTGAGACACTGCCCTAATCTGGGCTTTTTTGACGTTTTCATGACTTCAAAAGGGGAAAAATAATATAGCTTTTCCTTCCCCATCCCCTCTATGCAAAATTGTTGTGCTGCTGTTCAAGCTACCAATAGAAAACAAAAAACACCCCAACTTTGCATGGAGGAGACAGGGGAGGGGTGTGGATTCTTTTGTTCTCCAAAGTTACCCTATTTGAGTACAATGTCTCAACAATTTTGTCTCCGATTGTCTGAATCACAAAAGTGGCCATCTATCCGTAAGAAAATTAATTCATCCCATTTCTTCACATTGGGATGTAAAACCCCTGGTGGCTTTTTATTTGCTATGTTTGACATCGTCATGCCTATTTTACAACAATTGTTATAAAGTGGCGATTTCATAATTTTCAGTGCATAACATTTCGTGTCACGCTTAACATTCCTTGACATTTTGTGATGTGGCGCGTCGTGCATAATATCTTATTCTCTCCTTTATCAAAATAATAATAATGGAATAATTGTTCTAAAATAGGCATTATCGAACTGAAGAACAAAGTGAAAAGGACAGAAAACGAAATTTCGTTTTCTAGGCAGTAAAGACTGTAGTCATAATCTCTAAAATGCTGTCTAGTAGGAATTTCCATGAGTAACCACGAGTAACTAGGATGAGTATAATATGAAATAACTAGATTATCTTTAAGAGCAAAGTTGGTTACTTGTGGCCAGTCTCCTCCTAACCTCATAGTTTTTACTGTAAAGTACATAATTTCTTCAAAGACTCTCATAAGTATATGGGCAACTAATCTACTGCACTGATGTAGTGATGCTATGCAGCTTTGCTGTGCATTAGAAGTCGGAACATTTTTCCTGAAAATTCTCCTGCCAATAGCAATCATGGCTATTTTATCGTCGATAACACCCTTATTGCACAGGGGGTCAGCAGTCATCAAAAAGTGGTCCCTTGCAAACTAGTTTTCCAATTTTTAACCCTTTGAGCTGAGACTAATAACTCGATAATAAAACTATGTATTCCCAACAGTCGCATGTTTTTTGATTTTTGATGTTAACGGTTTTTGGCGCGAAAATGATGTCATAAGACTTGAGACTTTGTTCACTAAGACTTTGTTGGCCGAAGTTACCCTATTTGAGTACAATGTCTCAATAATTTTGTTGCCGATTGTAGGTTCAGATGTGGTTATGGTTACCACCTGCACATGGTGGTGTAGGCAGCAACATCAGCTGCGTTATGACGGAAACTGCAGCTGTGAGCATTGCTACCAAAATATAACTATCAGCCATAAAAAGTTATTGAATGGGTGATGGTGATAATAATTGATGGTCAGAATTCACAGGAAAAAAATTGCGACTGATACGGTCGTCAATGCCACTAACATTTTCTCCTTGGCGACTAAAAATTCTGGTTTAGTTGCCACTTTGGCGACCAGATTTCTCTATCATTTAGATTTAAATTAAAAGAGTAAAGTTCAAACAAAGATTTCATCTTACCTTACTTTGCTTTCGTCATAAAAAAGTGTGCATAAACAAAGCTAGTTTACCTCTAAATTTATACCAACTTCTGTGCGCGATATTTTCAAACAATCAGATCTGATGGATCGCGCCATACTACGGGCTTCTGATAGGTCACGGAAAAAAAGGCAAATTTTTGGGGCTAACTTTGCTGAAAAACAATCAGTGAAAAAACGACCAATTTCGTGGGAATTTTCTGGGCAAATTTCGCTAGAAACCGATCGATTTTACGCTGATTAGACGAGCGTATTTAGTGTTTTTTAACAGAGATAATCATCTGCTATTTTAACAACAAGGCTTCGAGAAATGAGTCAATGGCAAAGTTTTTAACATGATCATGACTAGTACCCAGTTTTTCGCATCATAATAAGCCATTTGCACTAAGAGGTCATGTGACATCGTTTTTATGAAAGTGAAAGTTATATGATTTTTTTCTTCAAAAAACGATTAGTGGGTCATGTCTTGAACAAAACAATAGTGATTTTGTTTTTCAAACCTGCACCATTTTCTTAAAATGAGTAGTTGGTCAGGTGACCAAAATGTGATTTTTGAAATTGTGAACACAAATTTTGCTCTTAAACTTCAAGGAGAATTTTGAAAAGTTGATGTGGGAACGTTTACAGCACATCTTAGCGTAACTATCAGACGTTTAACAAGATCTAAGCAAAAAGAAGTTTTGGCCGCCATGTTGGAGGGCAAGAGTATGCCCTCCAACGTGGCGGCCAATACAAATGATACTACTGTGTTGAAAAATCAAAGTGCCATAAAATATCTCCCTTAAATGCGTTTCCCCTCAAATTTCGGCTGTAAGATAATTTTTATGTGCTCTGTCAATTTTTGGCATCAGCGAGATTCCAACTCATTGTTTAAAGGAAGCATTAGTCACGTGACCTCTTAGTGCAAGTGGCCTATTTATGCCTGGTAGTTTTTGGACGTTGGTGGCTGGTTGTGGTGTTGAGGTTTCAAGATAAATTTGTAAGTTTACGGCAATTGAACAGCCCCAATAGCCGAGATAAGTTTCAAATATGTTGTATCGACATGTATTAGTTAAGATTTCTAGCGAATTTAGTGGTATTTTGCATGTTTCAGGGACTTTCGCGGGATTTCGCGGATTTGCCTGAATTTCGCAGCTCCGCTCTAAATATCAGAAGCCCTGATACTATGAATTGCGTCATTTACATTATACAAACTGGTGACTTAAAATTTGCATCTGGCGACTATATTTCTCCAGTTGGTCGCCAAAAGAAAAAAGACCACAAAGGTCAAATGTAAACGCGAAGAATCTTGAGCACAGTCAATATTTGTGGAATATACTCTTCTCTAGAAGAAGCGTTTGAGTTTTGCTGGAGCTCGTCGGCAGATCAACACAACACTTTACCAAAATCGACCATAAGACACGTAAAATTGCACAAATTTGTATTTCGAACCCCATGACTACCAGATTTATTATTTAAACATTGATTTGTGTCATCAGTATGGAATTTCTGCCGCTGAGTCGCAGACGTTCCTCCTCGCGAAACGTCCCCAGCGGCGAAGAGCGAGGAGAAACGGATGTTTTCGCAGGCTATTTGGCTCATGGAAAGTTCGGCGTCTGAACAGGACCTTACCGAGACCTTGATCATTTAGGATATCACACAAACCGAATCTACTGTTATTGTTTTATTATACATTGTTTTGAAGAAAGTAACCACAACCCCTTTCCCCCCCTCTGCTTGCAGATACAGCTGTAACTAACTAATCTGTAGGTTGCGCTGATTTCCAAAATTATGATAACAAGTACAATGTATAATAAAATTAATTCTGTTGAGTGCCTAAAAGCAATGCACATGTATATAGTAAGTTGCCAGGGGCTTATGAGTGCTGGTAGTGCAGTGTAAGCAGGGCTGTGACTAAGACTTCAAGTTACCGGGTATAATCATGCAATTATAAGTCAGTGAGGAATTGAACAGATAGGAATTTCTTCTTGTTCCATTTTCCTTTTGTTTTCTATGGAAATACTGTAGCAGCTGGGTGGGTCACACTTGTATAGTAGCCTTGGGAAATCCTTGGTCCCTATACCCCTTAGCATTTGTTCTGAGTGTAAGGCTACATGTAGGATTAGCTGGTTAATATTATTATAGGTTTACATCAGAGTGCTTGGTTCATGTTTTGGGCCGATGGCAAGCAAACTCCATTTCTGGAAGAACACTATGTACATTTAGTTGCTGGTAGGATTCTTTAGCAGCTCTTGGGACTTGCAAGTCCACCATCTTGTTGATATAGAAGTGCTGGGCAATCACAGAGTGGGAAAATATAATTCTTGCATATTGTTTTCTTTCATGCTTGTACAGATTGTCAACCAACTTTAACTCCACCAAGGGGGAGTGTAGATTATGTTAATGATGGATCCAATGTTTACGATTTGACTTGGAACTACAACACTGATGGACGCACAATCCAAGAGGTGCAGCTGAAATATAGTGGCGCAGGAAATGCTGATATAACTGTGGCTGGAAGAACTCCCACGGGACAACTTCGGGTCAACCCATTAAGTGGCTACTCAGCTAGCAGAATCAGCTTCACTGGATCGTTGTCAGGAAGTGTAGGACAGATCACTTTCCGTATATCCAACATTGTTCAAAGTGACAGCAGGATATTTAAATGTGACCTATCTTTCAACTCATTTAATCCCCCTGATATACTAAGCTCTATTGAACTTGTAGTGGTCGGTAAGTAAAATATTTGTTGTGCTCTGTAGAGTGCAAGCAATTACATTGTACATATAACCCTTTCCTTGCAAACACCTACCCTAGCCTCCCGTGCGGACATTCTTAGGGGTTCGTCTTGGGTTCCTGTCCTACAAAAGTCTGCTAAAACGATCAGTTATATTTCTTTCCCATTGTTCGCAAATGTTAACTGGAGCTCAAGTGTGACTATCGGAGAATGATCGGCACTGTTGAAGTCAAAGTGTTGACCAGCCAAACAACACACAAGCTCGGTATAGAGTGTGATACATTAATTGCTGTACGTGACAAAAAAGAGTTTTGCTCCGGACAAGAATGTAGGAGATAAGGGTTGGATTATTTCTCTTGGTACAAAGGTGTGCAAATTGATTCAGCAGTTTGTTCTAAAAGTGAGATGATCCTGATCCTTTCTGAAGTCTTGCGCAGAATTTCGCAAGGTCCAAAGTGAACTTCCCAGATCAGAAGTGTGCTGTGATTGGTCTACGTTTTTTCCCTCTCTTTTCAGCAGACGTTTGTGGGGCAGGAATATGTTATGAACCCCTAAGAACGTCTGCGTGGGAGGCACCCTGGTACCCTGAGGAGCAGTTTCCTGAGAGTAAATGTCTTTGGTGCTTATTGAAAGCACTGATGGTACCAAGAAAAAGACCTCACTGATACGAAATCAGTCTACAGTGTAGGTCATTTAATTTCTTGATTTACATGGTATTTTGCAAGGGTTAATTTACCAGAACATTCATTTTAATACAGTGAAACCTCAAGTGTCCGCTTAATAGAGGTTTGTCGATAAAAATTGTGCAATGTTTGTTAACTATTAACATTCAACAGTTACTAGTAGTGTACTGTGATAAAGTTCCATGTTGTTAAGGAAGCTATCCAGAGTTCAAGTTCATTACCAACCGGATATTGGTCTAATCTACAGTTTATTGACAGCTAAATGTACTGATTTATCTTTATTAATCGACTACAATACATATTTCAAGAACATAATCCAATGCTGCTATTGTCAATTCAGTCTAGTGTCTGTTTAATAGAGTTTTTTAATAGCAGAAGTAGTCAATTACAATCTATTTTAGTGTCTGCGTCTGCTTAATAGAGGTGTCTGCTGAATAGGGGTTCGTTATAGAGGGAAATCGAAGACATTAATTTCAGCACCCGGCTTAGTGCCAGCTTAATAGAGGGTGTTCGCTTAATTGGGCGTCCACTTAAATGGACAGTGTCCCGATTATGCGCACACGTGAGCGTCATCTGTTTTTTCTTCAAAAGACAATAGACTGTCATAATAGACTTGACAAGATTTCCTTACGGACCGCACCACCAACGGTGATTTGTTGTTTACATTCTCAAGTAATATTTTAGAGTTTCAAAGAAGTCTTTCCTCTTATCTAAAATTTGGCTCGTGGCATGAAGACTCATTGCAATTTTATTGCTAGCAGGGCCGCCTCATGACCCAAAAAATCTTGATCCGCTCGCTTTAAGAACAGCTCTTCTAATGTTAAACTCGTGTCAGAGGTCAATTGTTCCAAGTCCAGTAATATTTTGCCTGATTTGCTCGCATTCTAGCCTCAAACGTTTGAAAGACGTAAATAAAAATGCAATCTCAATTCTATGAATCATCGCAAAGGTTAGTAAAAAAATTGCATTATGATTTCACGGCACTAGTTTTTCTAAACCTCTTTGTTTGATAATTTTTGTCGGCCGCAGGTAGGTTCATTTCAAGTTTACTAACGCGTCGTTGCAAAACGTTCTGCTTTACGAAGCTTAATTCCACAAGACCTCCTCAGCCACATCAATGTCTCAATGGTTTCTTTCTTACAGTCTTTATTGTTGCTGTTTCATTTCTGTGCATTCCTTTCACAATTATCTGAGCTTGTATGGAAGCTAGCAGAAGAAATAAGCCTTCAATCGGCATCAAAGCACTTCCCATCTTTTGGTCCTCCGGCCAACGATAATAAAAATGATGCCAATAAATCCCGATTTCACCCAAATCAAAACTTAACGGGAACAATATATCATTGATCTGTAATCCTGAGAAGTTTTAGTGTAGTATTGAACTCAGCCAAACGTGATGCAAATGGATTTTTCAAGGTTCTTTTATCCTCCTTACATCTTTTGATTTCGCGACATCCTGTCCAAAAATCAAAGTTTGGTGCATGCGCAGTAACTGGATACTGTTCCTTTAATAGAGGTTTCACTGTGCACTGTAACTAAGGACCTGTTTACATGTAGGTGGGGACACCAGGTAGGTGAGGTAACCTGCTTAGGTGGGGTAAAAACAAAACCTTCCTTTACATGTACATGCAATCTTACAACCCCGCCATCCAGGTGTGCACTTTCTCAAGATTATTGAATGGTTGCTAAGCTCGTAAACAAGAAAAATGCTGGCAAACCACGTGTTTTGGCATTTGATGCTCTTCTACACTCGCTGCTCTTGCTGCAACCTCCAGTGCTGTGGCATTCTATTGTTACCTTTAACAATAATGCAAAGCCACTGCCAAAGTGTATTTTGAGTGAATTTGATGTATTGCGAATCTGACCCTGTGTAGGTGGATTACCCCACCTTGAAAAGTTTACATGGCAAAATTTGACTTCAGCTGAGAGGGTTACCTGGTCTGGCAGACCAGGCTACCCTACCCATGATCAAATTAAAATTAGAAAACATAATGGACTGGCAAGTGGGTTACCTCACCTGTCTCAGGTCCCTCACCTCCATGTAAACAGGCCCTTTTGGCCTGATGATACCTAGAAAGCTTTCATGGACTCATTTTAGTGTTCATCTACATGTACTTGTCCTGAAAGGGGTACATGTATTCACTGCATGTTTTTGCTGATCATCTGTGTTTTCATTAATCCTCAGTTGCGCCAAGAATAACACTGCAATCTCCACCTACTGTAACAGCAGATGAAGGCAACACGATAACACTATTGTGTGTTGCCACTGGCAACCCCAAACCAGCTATCACCTGGACAAAAGGCTCTTCAATTAAGCAGAAAACCTCGATTACCAACTACACCATATCACCAGTTGCCAAAGAAGAAGCAGGAACATACAGCTGTACAGCTCGTGTTACTGCACCAGGACTGGGCGAGCAATCTGTTAATTACCAAGTGACTGTGACAGTGAGATGTAAGTGTGTTCAGTTTGTGTTAATTAATATGGTCTTTTTAAACTGAGTTCTAATTATCTGCATGAAATGTTATGCACATGTACTGCCGTATGCCCCATTTTCCTTAACACTTAATAAACAGTGTATTTTTCCCCTGGTTTTCTGGCATTACACCTGTTTCAGGTGTAATGTTTCAGCCATCTAAATTCAGTTTTTATTAGTTCAAGAGCCATTTTGAGTTTTTTCTGTTAATAATATCATGTTTTGCTTGCTTCACCTTCCATGCACATGTAGTACGTACATGTAGTTCAAGCTACATGCATTTAAACTGAAGTCTGTTAATTATGTCTAGTAATGTAGCCTGAAACTGTTTTGTTTGATGGAAAAAAGTTGCACTAGGAGATGATTCGTTTTCTGATGGATTCAAATAAAATCCACTTAGCTGCCCCAACAAGTTTTCAGGGACTCCTGACAAATTATTTATAGGGAAAATAAATCCAAATCAGACATACATTTGTACATTGTAACATGATTAAAAACCCAATAAAGCAGGATTCAAAACACTTGTTTACATGTGAGGTGGAGGTGTTAATTTTGGAATAGCATGCGATCAAGATCACAGATCACAGAATCTGGACTTTTTTCTGATTGGATAGGAAACAATGCGGATGATTTGTTGCTGTTCCAGTTGGCCAAAATGCCGCCATCCATTAGTTGTTGATTTCAGTCTGTATTTTTTATTTCAAAAGAGACTTCGCGCCAAAATTTGATTCCCATCTGGTAAATACTGATTGGCTAATAACATGGCAGGTCAAGCAAACATTAGATTATGTAATCTAGGGAGCGGTTGACGGCTTGTTAATTGAATGTAGCAGGCGTTACTTTTTCCCTCTCGAGCCAAAGAAACAAAAAATAATAGTAATTATAATAACACCTGGTCTCAGGTTAAAGGGACAGGTTCACGGTTCAGCGCATGCTCGTTAACCAAAGTGCTATTTTTCTGCCGGGAGATGCTGTATCGTCTATGCAAGCAATATGATCATGTCATAATGAATTGTTGTCAAAGAACCAATCTGCACACTCCCCTGGCAGTCACTTGATCAACTTAGGTGCAAATAGCTGTAAATTAATCAACCATGGAATAAAACCCTTGGGTCAACAATTCATTCAACGTTGGTAGTGTTGGCATAATCCACTAATTTTCCTGCGATTTTAGTACTCCTCCTGCCCACTTCAGGTTACTGTGAAATACACTTCTACTTTGAAATACACTCTGAGATCGCTGATGTACATGTGAGTGGGATTATTAACCGATATAGAATTAATAATAAATTGGAAAAATGTAATTTAATTAATGAGCATGCGCTGAACCCTGAACCTGTCCCTTTTAATTTAGAAATACAAGTCATGTAACTGCGTGTACTTAACAAATAAATCCAGCTAGTCATTAGAACAGGATTTGAATCTCTGGAATGCAATTCAGCCACACTGGCTGATGGTAGCCTGCATGCTGTCACAGATGTAATCTATACCCCCAGTTAGTAAAGTCTGCAACAAAGCAGCAGCAGGATTCTTTTTCTGATCCCCAACAAATTTCCCTTCAACCTGATTGGCAAATGGACAATGGCATCTTCGGACAGGCCAATGATGGTGCATTCTCAGATCCTGAGGTTTAGTTTTGTCTGTCGCACAGGCTACAATCCACTTGTAGGATTATACAACATTCTGAAACTGTATTAATAAAGTTTTTTTTTCACGTTTTTAGATAAGCCTCAAATATCTTTTCTGACGCCGAATCGAACAGTAAATGATGGCACTGATGTGTCATTCTCCTGTCGAGCTGATGCTGTTCCCCCACCTACTGCATACAACTGGTTTAAAAATAGAGTAACAATACCCAGTGGTTCAAGTGGAGATTTTGTGAATTCTGGTCAAGAATTAACAGTGAAAAATGTGAAAAAGGACAGTGCTGGCCGATACAGTTGTTCTAGCAGAAATGATGTGGGAACTGGAGAAGAAAGATCTACCTTTCTTACTGTTAACTGTGAGTTATACTGTAATAACAAGTTCACTTAAGAGAGGCTGCTAAGAAAAATATAATTAATATTTTTTTCTTACCCTTTTGACTCAAACTACATGTTATCTTTTTGCACCTTATGACACTTGGTCAATCCAAAGAATATCATAAAAGTTAGGGCCTTTGGACAGTTAAGCAGCACCCTCTTTCTACTTGCTTAGGTCCATTGTACAAAGGAGATTCGGACTCAGACTACAATCCTCGACAAACGTCCTTGGGACAGTACTGCAATATTCATATTTTTCTCTCATTTGTCGGTTCCCTCTTAAAACAGTACATCCTTTTCTAACTTTTCTTGCAGATCTCCCTCCCCCCACCCTATACAAAGTTGAAACTCGGAAAAAATTTTGGATACACGCGTCCAACATTGTTTTTGGGGTGAGGGGAGTGGGGTTGGACCTGTGTGAATTGGAAAACGCCCCAAAAAGGCAAAAGTGTCCCAAGACTTTTGTCCATGATTGTAGTTTACTTGGGGGTGAAGAGGAATAACCAGGTGTTTGTTGCTACACAATTGTTTCTTAAAAATTTCCACCCCCTTAAAAAGCAATATTTTGTCCCATTATTCCAACAGAAAACTTTTTTGTTATTGCATTGTTCCACACCCAAAATGGGCATTATTTCAACTGGAAAAATTCTGTCTTTCTTTTTCTATCATTCCTCTCCAGCCCAGTTTGACTTAAAAACTATGTATTGGTAATTAGTAAATTCCAGCTAGTGGTCTATTATCAATGCTGCATTCTGATTGGTTGAGCTACTACTAGGCTATATGTTATAGCCTACTTGTGGTGAAAAGCGCGCGCTTTTTGGTGGCAAAAAAGGATTAAAGTCTAGCTTTAACTAGCTAAAATCTTTTTATTCTCGATATTTTTGACCAACTAGTTGGATTTTACTAAAACAATTATTCCAAGCATGTGTAATAGCAACCTTGAGATTAGGACCGGGCTCCGCAAGTTGCCCGCCACAACCTTGATTCAATGTAGTTTTTTTGTTTATTGTCATTATCATTATCATGCATAATCAGTGTTCTCCTTATCTTACCGCCTGAAGCAACACTTCTTACCGCCTGAAGCAACGGCCTGAAGGTTTACTAAAATGAAAGAAGTACACGTTCTGCTTTACGAAGCTTAATTCCACAAGACCTCCTCAGCCACATCAATGTCTCAATGGTTTCTTTCTTACAGTCTTTATTGTTGCTGTTTCATTTCTGTGCATTCCTTTCACAATTATCTGAGCTTGTATGGAAGCTAGCAGAAGAAATAAGCCTTCAATCGGCATCAAAGCACTTCCCATCTTTTGGTCCTCCGGCCAACGATAATAAAAATGACGCCAATAAATCCCGATTTCACCCAAATCAAAACTTAACGGGAACAATATATCATTGATCTGTAATCCTGAGAAGTTTTAGTGTAGTATTGAACTCAGCCAAACGTGATCCAAATGGATTTTTCAAGGTTCTTTTATCCTCCTTACATCTTTTGATTTCGCGACATCCTGTCCAAAAATCAAAGTTTGGTGCATGCGCAGTAACAGGATACTGTTCCTTTAATAGAGGTTTCACTGTGCACTGTAACTAAGGACCTGTTTACATGTAGGTGGGGACACCAGGTAGGTGAGGTAACCTGCTTAGGTGGGGTAAAAACAAAACCTTCCTTTACATGTACATGCAATCTTACAACCCCGCCATCCAGGTGTGCACTTTCTCAAGATTATTGAATGGTTGCTAAGCTCGTAAACAAGAAAAATGCTGGCAAACCACGTGTTTTGGCATTTGATGCTCTTCTACACTCGCTGCTCTTGCTGCAACCTCCAGTGCTGTGGCATTCTATTGTTACCTTTAACAATAATGCAAAGCCACTGCCAAAGTGTATTTTGAGTGAATTTGATGTATTGCGAATCTGACCCTGTGTAGGTGGATTACCCCACCTTGAAAAGTTTACATGGCAAAATTTGACTTCAGCTGAGAGGGTTACCTGGTCTGGCAGACCAGGCTACCCTACCCATGATCAAATTAAAATTAGAAAACATAATGGACTGGCAAGTGGGTTACCTCACCTGTCTCAGGTCCCTCACCTCCATGTAAACAGGCCCTTTTGGCCTGATGATACCTAGAAAGCTTTCATGGACTCATTTTAGTGTTCATCTACATGTACTTGTCCTGAAAGGGGTACATGTATTCACTGCATGTTTTTGCTGATCATCTGTGTTTTCATTAATCCTCAGTTGCGCCAAGAATAACACTGCAATCTCCACCTACTGTAACAGCAGATGAAGGCAACACGATAACACTATTGTGTGTTGCCACTGGCAACCCCAAACCAGCTATCACCTGGACAAAAGGCTCTTCAATTAAGCAGAAAACCTCGATTACCAACTACACCATATCACCAGTTGCCAAAGAAGAAGCAGGAACATACAGCTGTACAGCTCGTGTTACTGCACCAGGACTGGGCGAGCAATCTGTTAATTACCAAGTGACTGTGACAGTGAGATGTAAGTGTGTTCAGTTTGTGTTAATTAATATGGTCTTTTTAAACTGAGTTCTAATTAT